CTATGTGATAATCGATTATCAGTGAAGCCAACTCAGACCCAAGAATCCGCAGGGCCTGATAGTCGATTATCACATGTGTGATAATCGATTATCACGCTGTGCTGAATCAACTGAGGAGTCCAGCGTGGCCTGATAGTCAATTGTACTATCATGTAACTCGATTATCAAGGCTTGCTGACTTCCATTTTATCTGTTTGTTTGTGATAAAAACGTTGGAAGTATTAGAAACGAATGTTTATATTTCCATGCTAATTAACCGATGAACTTGCAAGGTTTCAAAACATTTATATTAACGAGTACACAACTTGATAACATGGACACACGTATGTTGGATGGTTAACCTACGAACATGCATAGATTCTACGTAGGTTGCGTACGATATTCTTATGAATATAACGACATAGATTATAACTAAATGTTCTAGAATTAGAGGGACAAATACTCACCTCTAAACGAAGGGGTTGACGGAATAATGGAACGAGATGAACGAATGGTTGACAACGTTGGACGATGAATGATTTCTCGTGGTCACCTCCTTCTCTACTTCCTCCTCGTCTACTCACCGGAACCACTCCTTGCCTGGCTCCTTGGCCGAACACACAAAGGAGATGAGGGAGAGTTGGATGTGTGAGTTTGTGGGAGTTACAGAATTGGTGAGGGAAAGTGAAGAGAGAGAGGGTTTAAATTGAGGACATGAATGGGGGTTTTAATGGAAAATGAATGAGAAGTGATGGAGTATTAAAGTGGGGAAAATGAAGGGTGTGGGTGTGGCGTGTGGTTTGCATGGGAGTTACTTCCCATAAGTTCTACTCCATTATGTAGAAATCTGACCTGAACGGTACGCAGTTTCCCCCAAACGGGTTCGAATTGAGATCCGTTTGCGTTTTTGGAATCAGACAGTCAAAACGAATTTAATGACATGTTCAAATAATTTTTCTAAAAACTTTATTTCCAAACTTCCGGATCCATCCCAATCATTAATTAATTTATTTGAGTAATTAATGTTGATAGGTCCGTTATTAATTAAAACACATGTTTTTATATTAAAAACAACATTAACTTTTGAAGTCCATTTAATGAGATCAAAATCTCAATACTTAGTATTTAAAACAATGAGTCTCAATAAATAAATAATATTTATTTTTTAAAAACTAAGCCGGTTTGTAGGGCGTTACAATAGCAAGGGAAAAATTATCGGCATTGGTTCGGTAGGTAAATTGGAAAACTCCTCTATAGATAATGTCTTGCTAGTGAAAGGTCTTAAACACAATCTCTTGAGCATAAGTCAATTATGTGACAAGGGAAATCGTGTGACCTTCAATTCAAAACCATGCACGGTAGAACGCCTTAGTGACAATGAGGTTATTATACGTGGTGATAGAATCGATAACATTTACATGGTTAACTTAGACAAATCACCTTCCAGCTTTGCTAAGTGCCTCATGAGTAAAGAGGAAGACACTTGGTTATGGCATCGGAGGGTAGCTCATATGAACATGAACCTTTTGAACAAATTGGTTTCACAAAACTTAGTAATTGGGATTCCAAAACTTAAATTTGAAAAAGACACCATTTGTGATGCATGTCAAAAGGGGAAGCAAGTTCGGGCTTCTTTTAAGTCTAAGAACGTTGTTTCAACATCTAGACCGCTTCAACTTTTGCACATGGATCTCTTTGGTCCTTATAGAACGAAAAGTTTTGGTGGTAATTACTTTGCGTTTGTGATTGTCGATGACTACTCTAGGTTTACATGGACCTTGTTTCTTACTCACAAAAGTGAGGCATTTCATGTTCTCAAAAATTTTCTAAAGAAAGTTCAAAATGAAAAAGACACAACCATATTAGCCATAAGAAGCGATCATGGGGGAGAGTTCGAATGAAATCTGTTTTCAGATTTGTGTGACGAACTTGGCATTGATCATAACTTCTCAGCCCCACGTACACCACAACAAAATGGAGTGGTGGAACGTAAAAAAAGATGTCTCGAAGAGATGGCTAGAACTATGATCAATGAGGCAAAAATCCCTAAGTATTTTTGGGCGGATGCTATGAGTACCGCGAGCTACGTGTTAAACTGAACCGTCATTCGACCGATAGTCATGAAAACGCCGTATGAATTATACAAAGGGAGAAAGCCAAACCTTTCCCATCTTCGAGTCTTTAGTTGCAAATGTTTTGTTCATAATTACGGCAAAGATAACTTGGGAAAATTTGATGCCAAGTCGGATGAAGGAATTTTTCTTGGTTATTCTTTACGTAGCAAGGCCTATAGAGTGTTTAATAAACGTACTTTGACTATTGAGGAGTCCCCTCATGTTGTGTTTTCCGAAGATAATACTCGCTTGGCGAGAAAGGCTATTTGTGATGATCTTGTAGATTCACTCGAAAGAATACACGTTGAAGACGATGAAGAAGACACGCCATTATACACCAACCCGCTACCGCAACCTTAGGAAACACCTCAAGTGATGGTCGAAAATGAGGATCAAGCGGACGAAGAAGAACATGAGGAAGCCCAGGAACAATAGGAAACCGAGCTTCCCGTCGCTTGGAGAACGAACAAGAACCTTCCACTTGACCAGGTAATCGGCAGCATCAACCGCGGGGTAAGTACTCGTAACTCACTTAGGGACACCGTAGAACACATAGCTTTTGTTTCTAAAATTGAACCTACAACCATTTCCGAAGCAATAAACGACGAACATTGGACCTTGGCTATGCAAGATGAGCTAAACCAATTCAAATTGAATGACGTTTGGGAATTGGTGCCAAGGCTCGATGATCGTATGATTATTGGTACGAAATGAGTGTTCCGTAATAAACTTGATAAAAATGGAATAATCACTAGAAACAAAGCTAGGCTCGTAGCTAAAGGCTACAATCAAGAAGAAGACATTGATTTTGAAGAAACCTATGCACCCGTAGCACGTTTAAAAGCTATTCGTTTACTTCTTGCTTTTGCTTCGTCTATGGATTTTAAACTTTATCAAATGGATGTTAAGAGTGCCTTCCTCAATGGTTTTATTCAAGAGGAAGTGTACGTTGAACAGCCCCCGGGGTTTGAAGACTTTGAGTATCCCGACCACGTCTTCAAACTCGAGAAAGCACTCTACGGTCTTAAACAAGCACCTCATGCTTGGTACGAACGTTTGAGTAAATTTCTTTTGGATAGTGGTTTCCAAAGGGGAAAGGTTGACACTACACTTTTTATCAAGTTTCAAGTTTATGTAGACGATATTATATTCGGTGCTACTAACGAGTCTTTGTGCAAGGAATTCTCAAAATTAATGACAAGCGAGTTCGAAATGTCAATGATGGGCGAGCTCACGTTCTTTTTGGGACTCCAAGTCAAGCAAATGAAAGATGGCACGTTCATTTTCCAAGCTAAATATTGCAAGGAGCTCCTAAAAAGGTTCGAAATGGACAACGCCAAAGCCATGGCGACACCGATGATCACGTCTGACCATCTTGACAAAGACGAGAAAGGTAAGGAAGTAGAAGTGAAAAGGTATCGAGGTATGATCGGATCCCTTCTCTATCTTACCGCTAGTAGGCCGGATATCATGTTTAGCGTATGCCTTTGCGCAAGGTATCAATCGTGTCCGAAGGAATCGCACTTAACGGCGGTGAAACGGATCATGAAATACCTTGTCAGCACGGTTAACGTTGGACTGTGGTATCCAAAAGGCTCTTCGTGTCATCTTGTTGGTTATTCTGACTCGGACTTTGCTGGTTGCAAATTAGACCGTAAAAGCACGAGTGGGACTTGCCACTTACTTGGTAGCTCTCTAGTCTCATGGTTTAGCAAGAAACAAGTCAGTGTTGCGTTATCCACAACCGAAGCGGAATATGTAGCCGCCGGTAGTTGTTGTGCTCAAATCCTTTGGATGAAGCAACAACTCGTGGACTATGGCTTTAATATCAATCACATTCCTCTTCGTTGTGATAATACTAGCGCCATAAGCTTGACGAAGAACCCCGTTCTTCATTCAAGGACGAAATACATTGACATTAGGCATCATTTCATTAGAGATCATGTTCTCAAAGGTGATGTCGAAATTGAGTTCGTTGAAACACACAACCAATTAGCTGACATTTTCACAAAACCTTTAGAGAAAGAGTCGTTCTTCCGCATTCGAAGTGAACTCGGAATCCTTGACTCCACGATGATCTAAGTTGTGCATTTTAACTTGTTAAACGTTTACTAACTTGAGTTTCGGAGAACATTTTCTTTTTTTGCAGGTACCCCGTTCATAAAATCAGGGGGAACCATGCAAACAACGATGTCCAGAAGACAAACAACGCTGTTGAAGGAAACACCGTCAACCAGCTTGAGCCAACAGCACTGTACAACACTCTAATAGCGCTGTCATAGGGAGTCCCCTTACCTTTGCTTTCTAGAATCTTTTCCAACAGTGCTGTACATTTTTTTAACATCACTGTCTTTCTAAACACCATGTTTTCAAGCATAACCAGAAAGTTCTTCAACAATGATGTACACTGGAGCAACATCGTTGTCCATTTTTACAAATTTTTTTTTCTATCGTAAAACAGCGATGCAGGGAAACCCAACAACGCTGTTCTAATGGGTTCAAGCCCTTATACATTTCCTGAAACTTTTGGAACATCGCTGTAGGATACCCAACATTGCTGTCCATTTGACACCCGATTTTAAAACTTAACGCATAACAGCGCTGTACAAGGGTACAACAGCGCTGTCCCAACAGCGATGTCGTCTTTAGAACATTGCTGTTCTCGTTAATTTTTTCAAAAAAATACCCATTGGGTACTGCATTAAATGATCCAACAGCCTTTTTTTAAAAATTTTTAAACGTTGGGAACCCATCTCCCTATATATTTTGGACTCCTCTCTTCACTTTTACACATCTAAACACAATCTTAATCAATCTCCTTGCATATTTCATCCTCTCTACAATTTTCTTTGAGAAATTTTCATCATCATGGGGAAAGACAAGAGCAAGGCTGCTACCTCCGGGAAATCTAAGGCCAAATCCCGGGCTCCAGTGACATCCTCCGAGGAACGCCTCTACTATGGCGAGGGGTCATACCTCTGGTTCGATTCCGAGGAGGAGCGCACCCGCTTTCTCACTTTTTCTTCTCCAAGCGGGTTGTGGCTCCCCCGCGGATTGTACTGGAGCACCTACCGGAGCTGCAAGGCTATGACGACCTTGACGCGTAGCTTCATCAAACCGGCATATGGTCATTCGTCTCCCGGGCTCGGAAGGAGGTCAACCCGGCAAGGACTCGGGACTTCTACTCCAACCTCCAGCGTGAGAACGACGTGCTCTACTCTCTTGTCAAGAGCACGCCGATTGAGCTCACCGTTGAGCAGCTTGGGCGGATCGCCGGCCTCCCCTACCCAGGCGACGACGTCTCCCACTATGGCGGAGAGGGCTGGGTTCTCAACAACGAGGGCCTTATCCTCAACGAGCTTGGCATCACCGAGCTCATACGTCATGCCTCGGGCCGCCCCACCATCCACTCCACGAACCCCGACAGCCGGCTCCTCTTCTACATTGTGTCCCGGATCATCAAGCCCCAGAAGCACGGGTGTTGGGAAAAATATTATAGATTTTGATGATGATGTATTTAGATTGTAATAGGGACTTTAGGTCACCCCAATATTCATTGTAATTTCTCTTTTTAGAAATATTGTTAAAACCGAGTTCTTGAGATTTCCAATAAAGTTGTGATATTTCACTCCATGGTTTGATGTCAATTGATGGAGAATAACCCCACGCCAGCACTGGGGCTGACATCAGCATAAATTTGCTAAGTTTCGGGTTTGGACGTTCCTGCCCGGCCCAAAGCTCCGCTCGTCCTTCCTGCCCGGCTCTGCGCTCCACTCGTCCTTCCTGCTCGGCCGACCAAGCCGAGCCCGAGCCCCACGACAATGACATGCGGAAAGCGACGTTCAACGGAGACTTGAGGAAAGCGATAGGATGAAAGGGACAAGACGTGCGGAAAACGACGTTCAACGGAGACTTGGTGAAAGCGATAGGCTGAAAGGGACAAGACCTAAGGACAGGTGACGTCCGCTAAACGACGGGCCTCGATCAGAGGGCTTTGACTTAGTATTTTGTACCCCCTATAAAAGGGGTGGCACCCCTCCTTGTAATGGGACCGAATTTTGAATTCAATATACTCCCACTTTGCGCACAATCTCTCTCTCTCTAAAACTTTATATTATTTCATACTCTCGGTGGTTTATAGCCATCAAGTTGGTGCTCTCGTTGAGAGGAGAGGAACATACTCGTAGGTTAACTCCCGAACGCGAGAATGGTGCAAACAAGGAGCAACGTCCCCACCACCAGCCACGTCGTTGGCGAGGAGAACGCGCCGGGCAGCGGCAACG